TGAGCTTCAGGCATTTAGCGGGTGCTTTGAGCACAGAACCCCAGGTGAGAGCTGTGCATGTCGGACGGTTCATCAAGCTACTGCTGGATCTAATCTCACTTGATATTTAATTCATCTTGTTGCCTATATCTAGCGATATTCCCCGACTTTGGCCTTTTGAATCTATTACTTGTTCTCAGGTGATGTGTTTTGGTTGAGCGCAAAGATAATAATTCATATATTAATTAATGTAATCCCGTACACTGATTCTGCACATTTGACTGATTGATTACATTTATTTCCTATAAGGTTTAAACTTATTGTATGTTATGCTTTTATAATGGCTATTATTGATTATTAAAACTGATATTCAGCAGAAGAGAGGGTATGTTTTATATTTTCAAAGAAAATGAAAGGAGGCAGTAATGTTATAGGCTCTGTTTTGTTATAAATATGCATACAGTGAAGATGACGCTCATATAAATATGAACCTACACAATGGCTTAACATTTTTAGTGTCTGTTAAGTTGTTAATATCAATATGAAAATAAACAGTTCCTTAAATCATGTTTTCATTTCATTGTTAAGATAGTGAAACAACATAGCCAGGATGATGCGAATGACGTTATAAAGTATCTTACACTGTTACCTTTAAAGATTTACCTGACGTGTCCTCTGGAGTTTGTTTTCCATACCAAACTTGCAAAGTCTGAACTTCAGAAAATTATGCAAGACTGAAGTGTGTAGGCTACTTAATATTGAAGAAGACAGCGAATGTCCACGCCTCTGTTTTCAGATGTCTCCGTTTTCCCTCATTCAATCTGAAATGGAGCAGCAGCCTTTTAAAATGAAAACGGCCTTTTCAGCATTTTCAAAAAGCTCCATTTTTGGCGCTTGATTACTCAGAAGTAGTGTGGACAGAAAGCATAACCGTAGCAAAACTTATGCGTTTTAGAATGAAAAAGTATTAGTGTAAACAGGGCCTAAAATGAGAATTTGAATTATATTAAATCAGTGAATTAGGGCCGCACAATATATTGTTTCAGCATCGATATCACAATGTGTGCATTCGCAATAGTCAAAATTGCAGTATCTGTAATGTTGATATGGGATTATAGTTGATCAGCTAGGAGGATTACAATGCTATTTTACATTACATTTGATTATTTAACTACTTTACGTGAATATCTGACTACTTTTTGACTATCTTTTGACTATCTGACTACTTTTTGACTATCTACTGTTCTGGAAAACCATAAAGCACTGCTTATTTCACTTTTATTTTTGCACTTAATAATTTATGCTTGCAAATAGTTTGATTTGATTCCCATGCATTCATTTTCCTCCGGCGTGGTCCCTTGATTTATCAGGGGTCAAACACAGCGGAATGAACCACCAACCTATTCAGCATTATTTTTTATTGCAGAGGATGCCCTTCCAGCTGCAACCCAGAACTGGGAAACATCAAGACACACAGTCATTTACACACATGCACTATGACCGATTTAGTTTATTCAATTCACCCATAGCGTATGTCTTTGTACTGTGGGGGAAACCAAATTATTTGAATCAGTGAATTGTTAGCCGATGACTAGGCCCACACGGAATCTGCAAGCGCAGATTTACGCAAATTTTGAGCCCATCGTTCAGTCTATTTATGGACTTGTGTGTAAATTTATATTTATTCAATTATATTTATTTAAATACATTTTACTAATATTATTATGATATAATAATAATAGTAATATTACATTTTTCACATGATTTATTTACAATACAGTTTGTAAAGTTATATTTTCTGTCTTTTAGTAGAGATATTATATGAGAGGCTTGCTTCGGTTACCAAATAAGTGAATTTAATTGTATTTGCATTGTAAACATTAAATAAAAGTACAAAAGTATTATTTTTTATTATATTAAGTTTTTAGTTACAGTATGATACTCCTAAAATCATTCCGCATAAATCCGCAGATTTTTTTTTACAAAATTCTCTGCAGAAATAGCAAAAAATGTCAGCAGATTCTGTCTGGCCCTAACAATGACTCACTCTGACCAAGTAATTTGAATCAGCAAATCTATAATTGGAGACCTGCTCTAACCGGATCATTTGAATAAGTCAGTCATTAACTGGTGATTCGCTCTGACTAGATCTTCTTAATCAACTAGCCAAATCAGTTAGTTGTCAACTTTAAAGACCGCATGAACCAGAAGCTGCGACTGTTTTTTTGTTTTTTTTGTGACGCAGTTCCTAGAGAAACAGAATATAAAATTATAGAACTGTGGGTGTGTCTTGTTTTTTTTCCTAATGCAAGCTGCCTGGATGTAGTAAAGTAGACATTTCAGCTATTACAACCTAACAGACACCTCCTCCTCACCATTTCTGTTTGTTGTCATAGTGCTCTCAATACTGAAAGTTGGAAGATTGTGGTCATGTATGTTAACCATGCCCAATACCTCAGACAGATGAGAATTTAACTTAAAACAAATAGGAAGTGCCTTTTCAGATTTCAATTTTAAATTACAAGGGCAAAGTATATATATTTTTTTTCTTAATGACATGCACAGATTAATTGTTCTTAAGAAGACTAGCAATGTATGTGAGCTAACAAAATCAATATGGTTAGATTTGTTTACATGTGTACTCTAAACATGCATGCTCTGACTGGATCATTTAAGTCAGTCAATCATTAATTAGAGATTTGCTTTAACCAGATTTTTTGAATCAGTGTTAACCGGAGTCTCTGGCAAGATCATTTGAATTCTAAATGCTCAAATCAGTTAGCCTAAATACTCCAATCAATTGCTTAAAAATACACTTAAACAAAAAACAAAAGTACAAATATGTGGTGTCCAGAATTGTAAGGAATGAAGCTGGTAATACAGTGGTCCAGCCCTCATCAGTGTTAAAGCTAGTGAGCAGTGCAGGAGAAACAGTAGAGGGAGAGGAAGTGTCAGTGGGTGGACACATCTCTCTAATCTTACTGTCTCTGGAAAACCTGTTCTTAGCTTTTCAACTTTTTGCTTTGCTCTCTCTCCCTCTCTCTATTTCTCTCCACCGATCTTTTTCTGTTCAAGTCAGACGCTCCTGGAGAAAATGTAGCCACCACAATACCAGTGAAATGATGTTAACCCATTGCCTCGAGTGCCATAGATTTCTTTTAAATAAGCTTCGATGCTGCGTATTTACATGAGCATTTCCAAATGTTTATTAAGATTTTGGGTTTGAAATTCTTAAATAAAAACATTTCCGTAGGTCTAACAAGACACTATGAGATCACTGATAATATTCATCCACCCAAACATTGGCAGAATAGATACCAACATGAACTTAAGGATGTTCAGCACCTTTACTCAGCTCTTCAGTTTCATTTGATCCTTCAGAAACAATTATAATGTTCCGATGCGATGCTCAAAGAATTCATATTATATTTGTTATCATCAGCATTGAAACAGATTCATATTTGTGTGGAAATTGATACTTTTTCAGGATTCTTTGATGAATTGAAAGTTCAATAGATTATTATTTCGTTAAAATATTTATATTTATGTAGCCCTTTGAATATCTTTATCTTCACTTTATGATTTAAGCATTCCTGCACTGAATTTAAGTACTACAGTTGGGATCGAAAGTTTAAGCACCCTAGGTAAAAAAAAATATATATATAAATGTGCATAACGAAGACAAGGAAAGATGAAAAAATGTACATAAGGCATTCAATTACAGATTAGATATTCTTATAAATTTTATTTCCATCATTTACACTTTCAAAATAACAGAAAACAAAAAATAGTGTCTGCAAAAATTTGTGCACCCTGCAGAGTTAATATCTTGTACTGCCCCCTTTGGCAAGTATCACAGCTTGTAAATGCTTTTTATAGCCAGCCGAGAGTCTTTTAATTCTTGTTTGAGATAACTCTGCCCATTCTTCCTAACAAAAGTCTTCCATTTGAGGATTCTGGGCTGTCTGTCACGCACTGCTCTTTTAAGGTCCATCTATAGATTTTCAATTATGTTGAGGTCAGGCCATGGCAAACCCTTTAGTTTACACCTCTTGATGTAATCCACTGTGGATTTTGAGGTGTTTTTAGGATCATTATCCATTTGTAGAAGCCATCCTCTCTTTAACTTCAACTTTTTCACAAATGGCATAAAGTTACCATCCAAAATTTGCAAAAAAAATTTTATCCAATTTTTCTTTTACTCTTAATACGAGCTATACAACCCCAAAGCATGATTGATCCACCCCTAGCCTAACAGTTGGACAGGTTATTTTCATCAAACTCTGTGTCCTTTCTTCTCCAAACGTACGTTTGCTCATTCCGGCCATCAAGTTCTTTTTTAACCTCATCGGTCCACAGAACTTGTTTCTAAAATGCATCAGGTTTGTCTACATGTTCATTTGCAAGGTTCAAACGCTGATTTTTTTTGTGGTGAGGATGTTTCTTCTGATGACTCTTCCATGAAGACCATATTTGTACAAGTATCTCTTTATAGAGTATCTGCCAGATCTTTCTAGAGGCAGTCAAATGTGGGTTTTGACTTGCTTTTCTCACAATCCTGCGAGCTGTTCTGTCTGATATTTTTCTTGGTCTTCCAGATCTTGCTTTAACTTTCACTGTTCCTGATGACTGTCATTTCTTAATTAAATTCCGAACAGAGGATATTGGCATCTGAAAATGCTTTGCTATCTTCTTATAGCCTTCTCCTGCTTTGTAAGCATCAACTATTTTTAGTTTCAGCTTTCTACACAACTGCTTGGAAGGACCCATGGGGCTGATGGTTGGGGCAAGGTTGGAGGTGTAATACAAAGTTTTGCCTGGGGTGCCCAAACATTCATAATTTTTACTCTAATTTCTTTTTAAAATATTAAAAAATAAATAACTAATACTTAACATTTTGTTCATTTCAGCTTGGAATTGTGCTTAGATTGTTTTCTTTTAAAGTTTTATTCATAAAAAAGGGGTTGTGGACTGAAAAAGTTATACTGAAGGAAGTTTTTTTTCTTTTATCTGTCTCTTAGGAAAGGAAATTGTGTGCACATCCATTTCTGGAGATCTATCGAGGGGGAACGATCCACTATATGAGTCCACTGGCCCGGCAGGGGGATTTCTATGTTCCTGAAGTTAGAGAAGCCCAAAGATGGTTACCGGGAAAATCGCCTGAAGAGGACGAGAGGACGGACATCACAGGTATATAGATTTAAATAGATGCTTTTTTAGTCTAAAATCACTCAGGAAAGAAATAAATGTTTAACAAATGTATAATTTATATTGTTTACTGTGTAATGTTGCATGTGTTCTAAATACTACTCAAAGTATCAGTAAAAAGTCACCCTTGTATTATGCTATGAAATATACCACCTTATAGCCTGCAAATTAAAAATGTAGCTTACATCAGTTTTATTCTCTTTAAAGAGTGTATCTAAGTGCAAGTTAAAAAAAAAATGTCATTCATGGGCTATAAATGGGCTATAAATGTACAATGTGAGAACACGTTACGTTAATATATACACCTATTATAAGTCAATAGAAAGCAGGTTTACATGCAGAGCGAAATCTGTGTAACTAAAAAGGTAAAAATCTAGCTGTGACGATATGTTAATGCTTCGGTTTTGTACTTTAACCCTGACAAACAAGCTAAATGCAATTTTCTCATATATTTGAAAACGTAATATTTTGTAGTGCATTTAGTGATTGTTTAGGCCATTTCACACTTTCATAATACATCATACAGTACATTTCGCATGATTCATATTTGATCAGTAACATGCAGGGTAAACAGTCTCTCAGTCATTGGTTGTAATGGCTTTTATTTATTATTTATTAATGATAAATTTTAATACAACAATTGTTGTGCTGTGAAGTAAAATATCAGATTGTTTATTGAAAGCATCATCAATGTACTGTGATGAACCGAGATTTCAGATTGAACCGAATAGATGGCATGATAATCGTAACCGAACCAAATCGTGAGACATTAAATGCTTTGTAACGGTCTTGTGAAAAGGTTGCATTACAGTAATTTGAGTATTTCTACTTTGTTACTTTACACCACTGGGGACTATGATGTCAATATTTAATTTAATTCTCAGAGATTTTTTTCTGGCGCATTGTTGAATCTATGCCAGTAAGAAGAATTAAATGCCAAGACAGTCCTACCAAGGTGTACCATAAATAAACTGCCCTTTTTTGGAGCACTAATAGTAGTCCATTGTCAAATGAATTAGTTAAATTATGCAACAAGTGCATTTGATAGGTTAAATTAGGAATGCACGATATTGGAAAAAACCAACATTGCAATAATTTTTTTTTTGCAATGTATATATTGCAATATATAATTTCAGAAGATGATTCTGTTTGAAAAGAATTAATATTTTTACATTGATTGGGATGATTTTATAGGCAAGTGCATCTGCATCGAATATACAATATATACAGTCACTAATTATTAGCCCTCCTGTGAATTTGTTTTTCCTTTTTAAATATTTACCAAATGATGTTAAACAGAGCAAGGAATTTTTTCACAGTATTTCTTAAAATATTTTTTCTTTTGGAGAAAGTCTTATTTGTTTTATTTCGGCTAGAATAAAAGCAGTTTGTCATTTTTTTAAAAACCATTTTAAAGTCAATATTTCTAGACCCCGCGATGATTTTAGTCTAACAGCATTGAGGCACATAAATCTAATGTAAAATTACACTGTATAGTCTTCACTGTAAACAATTAAACACTATTAATCTTTGTTGAAGTGGGAAACTTTATAATTTCTTGTTTAAATTCACTTCTTGTTTAAAAAAAACCCTGCATCATTAACTTTAAAACTGCTTTTAGTTGGTCAATGTTGCAATCTATTTCAGTTGCCTCAAAACACCATTGCGCCAACAATCCGCATTAGCACACCTCCATTGCAAACCAGCACACCCATGGCCAAACAAATTGGTGCAAATGCATGTTTTTAATGCAAATTGTGAAAATGATACCTACACTTCTGCATTGCACCGGGTGTATGATAGGGGCCTGTGACCATGAATAAATCCCCTCAATCAGTAAATTTTGAACTTTAAACCTGCATGATCTGACTTGATCATTTCAATCAGTTGATCATTAATTGGGCTTACTTTGAGCAGATCTTTGCATTAAATGTACAATATATACAGCTGAAGTCACAATTCTTCGCCATCCTTTTTTAAATATTTCGTAAACGATGATTAACGGAGCAAGGAATTTTTTACAGTATTTCCTATAATGTTTTTTTTTTTTCTGGAGAAAGTCTAATTTGTTTTATTTTGACTATAATAAAAGCAGTTCATAATTTTTAAATTAATAATACTAACTAATAGTAACTAATAGTAATCTTATGTAAAATAACACCGTATAGTATTCACTGTATAAATTATTAAACCCTATTAATCTTTGGTGAAGTGGGAAACTATAATTTCGTGTGTTCAAACTGTTTAAATTCACTTAAAATAGCTTGAGATCCTGCGATTCGACTATTGCAGATTTACATATTGCGATAGATGCTGAAACTATATATTGGCAGCCCTAGTTAAAATTTAGCAGAAAAAAATAAATTATTAGGCATTAAGCTGCACCTTATGGAGATTTGATGTGTGCATGTCATATTGGCTGAACTGTGCGATCACCTACACCTGCTCTGGTGATAATGAGACACAATCTGTGTGTGCGTTTAATGGCGTATTGCCCTGGTCAAACTAAAGCCCAGAGGTACCGCGGAGCAAATATGAAACACAGGTGAGCTGTTTGTGACCTGAGGGGAAGTGTTGTCCACACCAGCTGTCCTGGACAGTGTGTGTATGTGTGAGTCCTTGTGATGCCTGTTCCACCTGTTACCCCGAAAACAAACGCATAATAATAGCAGTAATATATGATCGAGGAGGAAGATTAAAGCGGAGAAGACACAAGATTAAAGGACGCATTTGAAGCCTGCTGGGTTACTGGGTCCAAATGGTGCTGCTAAATTTAATATGTTTTACAGGATGTCTTGTTCCTACTGTCCTCTCGTTATTCAAGTGCACGTTTGATCCTCCAGCGAGACGCGCAGACGCTCAAAATCAGCACTTGTTAAACAGAAAAGTTCTTGGGTGCTTGTAGCTTTAGAAATAAACATGAAATCATCTGAAGCAGAAAATGTGCTCTGTAGCCGTGTTGATCCTACAATAAAAGTTTCCATGTTATTGACTTTTAATAGAATATATGCATGAAATACTGTCTCTACGATATTTAAGGAATAAGTACAAGTGATAGTGGCCAATAATATAATTTCTTTCCTTATTCATAAGTTTTTGACTCCATTGACTTTCATTGTTTCAACAAAATACTATATACAATTTATGAAATACTTTAATGAAGTAATGAAGTGTTATCAGGAAAGGTTATCATAGAAAGTCAATAGACTCTAAATGTGTTTTTAATTCCCTTTTAATTTTTTAATGGACACAAAAAAAATACTGTTTATGAAAATGGCTTTACAGTGCATCCGGAAAGTATTCTTAGCTCTTCACTTCCACATTTTTATTACAGCTGTATTCCAAAATGGATTAAATTAATTTATTTCCACAAAATTCTACACACAATACCCCATTATGACAATGTGAAAAAAGATTTTTTGAAATGCACATGTACATCAGCATTCGCAGCCTTTGTCATGAAGCTCTAAATTGAGCTCAGGTACATTATGGCTGTTTCTCAATTCCAAGAACCGGTCTTGCCAGGTGTCCTCGGGAAAACAAACTCGGGTGACCTCGAGAACAGGGAAAGTGTTCTGTCAGAAATCAGATGCTGCGTTCTTCCTGATGGTCACATAACCTTCACGCGTTTTTTAAATGGAAAATTATTAAAACATTACAGCATTTTTACAAGGATTTATTGCTTTCCCCTTTTCAAAATATATACTATGCATAAAAACATTATAAATATGCGTTGCTCAATATAAACAAAACGAATTTTAATAAAATTTTTGCAAACACCCTTAATGTGTTTATTTCTTTATTAAGATGTCCATGGTCATGTTTACTTTCACCATTTCATTTAGGGAAACTCCTGAGGTCTAAACTTTAATCTAAATAAAATGCTGCGCTTCCCACCTCCAGTCGCAATGACTTCTGGGACTCCTAGAGGGAGTTCGGTGCTCAAGTCTGCATCGCTGAGCACTCGATATCAAGAACATCCGGGAAGTTTCACGCAACCTCTGTTCTTGCGGTCTTGAGTATTGGAACAGAACTTTGGCAGCTGATGATGACGTTACACAAGAACACGAGGACACAAGACCGCTGAAGAACACAGAAACAGCCTATGTTTCCACTGAGGTAAATTCAATCAATTGGAGATGATTTGAAAAGGCTGTTTATATAGGGTCTCGGGGTTGACAGTGCATGTCAAAGCACAAACCAGAAGCCACTCCTCGCCTGGAATTTGCCAAAAGGCATCTGAAGGACTCTCAGACCATTGACATTCATTGGAGTGAATGTCAGATGTTACTTTTGGAGAAAACCAGGCATCGCTCATCACCAGGTTAGTACCATCTCTACAGTGTAGCATGTTGGTGGCAGCATCATGTTGTGGGGATGTTTTTCAGCAGCAGTAACTGGAAGACTAGTCAGGACAGAGGGAAAGATGAATGCAGTAATGTACAAACATCCTGAATGAAAACCTGCTTTAGAGTGCTCTTGACCTCAGACTGGGGCCACGGTTCATCTTACAGCAGGACAATGACCCAAAGCCCACTGAAAAGATATCAATGGAGTGGCTTCACAACAACTCAGTGAATGTCCCAGCCAGAGCCCAGACCTAAATCCTACTGATCATCTCTGGAGAGATCTGAAAATGGCTGTACACCATCACTTCCCATCCAACCTGATACTGCAAAGGAGTAATGGGCAAAAATTCCCAAAGAGAGGCATTATTTCAGTGACAAATGTCGTGAGCGCAGTATTACAAGTCGAGATTGCATTCATGCAATATAAGCATGCAAATCTCCGCTTGCACGCTAATTTCCTCTGTAAACTTTTTGTACACCCTCAAATATACGCTGCTCAAGCACAGATTTTCTTGTCTGCTCTCAAATAAGCATTGCTTAAGGGCAATTTAATGTGTTTGTGTAACGTGTATGTCTCCAACATGTATTAGATTTGCTTGGAACATTCATGAATGTCTTCAATAGACCTACAGA